ATCATCACCTCATCATTCAGCCTTCTCAACTGACATGCAAAACAACATCCAAATATTCATTGCACATCTGTGCTGGACAGATTATGCATTAGCAATTCAAATCAATTCAATGTACAGGCAGTTTCTGTAAAGGCGTCTGTTTGGGTGAGATGCCTTGTTGTCTGGGGTGGATAATAAGGCAACTCTGTCTAATCTTGGAGAACAATCAACCCATCTTGAGAAGGTGACTGACTACGTATGCTCTTGCCCTGACAGCACTAGAACAATGGCCCCATAATGCACTTGACTCAGCTGGTAATAAAATCTACTTTTGATTAGCAGCCATGGCTTGTGTCAATCACTCCATGATGTACCATTGTCCTCTGGTCCTGAACACAGTTTATTTACAGGGAAACAAAAGCTTTTTGGATATGGCTGCTGCCCAGAGATTGCAAAATAGATTGAGCTGTCAGCCTCACACACTAGATGAAGATTAATGAGTTGTGCAGACAATAAATATGAAGCAATGACCATAAATATGCTAATAGGTATTATCCATATACACTATAATTGCTACAAAAATTAAAAAATAATGTGAAGGAAATAGGTCATGGGGTGACAGATAGATAATCTTGGATGCTGAAGATCTTTGGTTCAGTCAGATTCTCTACAGGTTTATTTCCTTCAATTAGACCCTTCAAAAGAGTAATTGTTTAAAAGCTTTTTGAATAATCTCTTTGAAACAGAGGTTTATGGGAAAATGTTTATGAAAAAGTGACTCCGATGAACATGTTAGTGGAATGAAAAAGGTGACTACCAAAAGCAGGCTATGCAGACATTAGTGTCTGTGACCAGCTGCCCAGCTCCACTACGAGAAAAATTTCTCCAAATGGCACACTAGTGAGGACTTCAAGGAAAACCTACAGAAGAGACACAGAGGTTTATATCCACAGACACAAGTGGGTAAGGTCATTCCCAAGCAAAATGTAGAGGAGTTGCATGGACATCTGTTTGTGTTGGCTTGTTTGGTTTTCTCAGTTTAGCACACTTTTTCCCTTTTTTGGCTTTTTTTTTTTTTTTTCTTCAGCTGAAGAAGGGAAGGATGCCCACGGCTCAGATTTTTAGAGTACTTCCAATCAAGCCTCTGCAAGCCTCTGGTTTTCCAATTCCTTTCAAAGAGCACGCAGTCTAGACAGTTTTTGACACTAAAGGATTTCATTTGAACCTGAAACTCAGAGAGTTAAACATCAGGCTATGTTAGCTACACATATAAATGCTTCAGCACCTAAGGCTACTGGAATTATAGTGACACTGAAAATAAAGGCAGTCATACTCTCGGTACTCATGGCTTTGACTCCCTGTTCTCTGAGGCTTAGAAGTGCCACTGGATGCTTTTCAGGTCAGTTCACACCACCCATCTCCTCTCCTCAGATTTTTAGCTTCTGGAGCGGGGCCATTACTCAGATACTCTTCCAGATCCAATTTACTGTTACAATGTCAAGCTTGGTGATACAAACGAATAATTTTCTCTTTCCTTCCATACTTTAACTAGAAGTTGCATCAGTTTGGCTCTTAAGTCATCACTGCTTGGGTTTCTGGCAAACAGTCCACAAAGACTTACAACCACCTTAGTGCTTTTGTGCCAGGCTACCTGCAAACTCAGCTGGACATCAGCCACACTTGCCAAACATCTTGTAAGTTACACTTTCCAACCAGAAATACCGGTAAAACAAAGGAAAAAAAGGTAAGGGGCCATTTAGGAAAACATCTCACACAAAGCTGGCAGGTGAGAGGAGAAGCACGTCTTTCTGGGTGAATTGGCGGAGGGAGAGGACCTCTGGAAACTCAGAGATTGAGTTCTTGTTCCCAATCTTCTTAAATCAGAGGCTGTGATGTTAGTCGTGTCACCATGTTGCCAGGGCCAGGGCAAGGCCCTGTCCTGCCACCCCAAGCAAGGTGAGCACAGCAGACGTGGAGATGGCAGGCAGGTTGAGACAAGAGTCCAAATCATCAGGCAAGTTTGTAGTGATGAGGCAAGTCCAAGGTCAAGCCAGAAACATGAGCTGACAAGTCAGGTTCAGGTCTGGTGATGGTAGCCAGGGTCAGTCACCGTGATTGCTGGGTGAGCCTGTCCTTAATAACCAGGCAGGTTGTATTGGGTTTGTGTGGCAAGGTTTTGGTAGCAGAGGAGCTACAGGGGTGGCTTCTGTGAGAATCTGCCAGAAGCTTCCCCGCTGGCCAAGGCCAAGCCCATCAGCAATGGTGGTAGTGTCTCTGTGATAACAAATTTAAGAAGGAAAAAAACCTGCTGCGGGACAGTAGCTGGAGAGAGAGAAAAGTGAGAGGATGTGAGAGGAGCAGCCCTGCAGGCACCCAGGTCGGTGCAGAAGGAGGGCAGGAGGTGCTCCAGGCGCTGGAGCAGAGACTCCCCTGCAGCCCCTGGTGAAGGCCATGGTGGGGCAGGTTGTCCCCCCTGCATGGAGGCCCACGGGGGGGCAGATCCCCCCCTGCAGCCCGGGGAGGACCCCACGCCGGAGCAGGGGGGTGCCCGAAGGAGGCTGTGACCCCGTGGGAAGCCCGCGCTGG